AAACCATAAAATTTAAGTATAAATAGATGTATACTGTTATAAATGTAGTTTCTTGTTACAATTTGAGGTCATTCTAGAAAGAAAAAAGGGTAATTTAGATTTTTTTTTGGTGGTTACCCACCTTGTATAAAGTTAGGGTAGAGAAAATAATGGTTACAATATAAAATTTTAGTGATTATGCAAATGAAATATGAGATTTTTGAGATGAAGAAAAATATTTTTAATCTTAACTTGAAAATCATTTTGCACATGGACTAGCAAAAAAAATATTCTTGATATATTTTCACAGACAAATATTCTTTTAGTTTATTAAAAATACTTCACTAAAAAATATGATTTTTTATATATGAAAGACTTAAAATCTCTACTGAAAGTCTGCAAAATTTTGTGAAGATATACATACTATATTAAAAGTTAGTAGGATAAAAAAAATATAGACTTTAAATGAGTACAAAGAGGTAATGTGGTCGGTCAAATTGACTGAGCCTGTGGTGAGAGAGTTAAACTAATATTTCACACGATGAAGGACTTGAAATTCCAAAATTTGTCCTAAACCCTTCCAATCTATTAGAATTTCAAAAGTAAAACATTCCCAGTTTGCCTCTGATGAAAAAATCCCCACCTTTCAATAACACTCAGGTTATTTGTACTTACATCATTTTTTTTAACCTCTGCTATATTTAATTCTTATTCATTATTAGAATATTTCATCAGTTTAATGCAGTTCAGCTAAATGCAATTCATTAAATTTCCATTCTTTATAGCCAATGTATGTTCCTTGATTCTAATTTTTAAATTTCTACATGTTTGGCCAATATCCATTAGATGACAGTTGCAAGAGCTTCGATAAATATCACTTTAGATAAGGCATAAAATGTACGGAAAATATAATATGATGATACAAGATTCTTTTTCTAATTAGGTGTTAGTGCCATACAGTTTTTAACCATATTTTTATCTTATTATGAAAAAAACATATTTAGATCTTTATTTACTTTAACATAAAACTCACCCTTTCCTAAATCATTAATTTTAACACACTCCATCTCACATGGTACAGTATATCCTGCAATTCTGTTTAAATTAGAATTACAAGAAGAAAAATGCTTAATTTTTAGAAAAAAAAAGACGAAAATATAATGGTTACTTCAGTTTATAGCAACTGTATTCCACTGCCATACTGCCACAAAATTCTATCTAAAAGACAATGTCACATATGTATAGACCTTTAAAATACTTGTTTATAAAAGAAATTAATATCAAAGCTGAAATCCTTTAAACTGTTGCCACTGAAAGAGGATTTAATAGTGTCATTAACAGAACTTATAACAGATTTTTCAACATATTAAATATTTCACAGTGTTCTAAACTTATGGTTAGTGAAATTGATAAAATATTCAGAGAAGTATATTAATTATTTTGTAACACTTCCACTTCAGGATAAACTTAGTCATTTTATTGCTAGTCTTAAAGATAAAATCTCTTTAATAGATAAATCCACATAAAATTGGTGTTACATACCACCCAATTGTAGATAACACAGGATTGTCCTTTCATTTAATTGCTAAATTTATTGCTAGAAAGTGTGCAATGATGAAAGTATCGTCATTGCACTGACTATGTTGAAAACATATTTTTATACATTTCGGTGGTTTTATTATCGTGTGTTCATTACTGTATAGATGCATATAATGTTTCTGGGGAAAATTCAAATATATATATATATATATATATACATACATACACACACACATACATATATTTATTGTATATATACTAAAAGTTTTAAAAGGTATCTGCTTACATTGCATCATATATTCATATCGTGTAATAAGTATTTGTGATCATAACACAAATGTAACCAATATTCAACCTGGTAAACAAATAAATATTTCTGGGTAACTCGCATTTTGAAATACAGTATGTTTTGATCTATTAGTTCCTTACTCAACTAATTTTCTGACAATATATTATCTGACTTACTGGAGACACTTCTTTAATACAATTTTATTAAACTTTCTAACTCAGAGTCACTTTGTTGCAAACCATCTTGAAATTCATATCCTTTTCTTATACTCAAAACCCCATTTTTTGAACTATCTAGGTCATCATCGTCATTCCTATCACTAAACTTGGAAATAACTTCATCTTGTTGTGCATCATCAAGTTTTTCAGTTTTAACCTTGACAAATGTGCTCTGAAATCAGAAGGTTAATAAAAACAACTAGTGTCATTACTTAAGTAATCATCAAATACAAGTCTTAACAGTTTAGTAAATTCAAAACATGATGATATAAATTTTATAAAAAAAAAATATTCTGGTAAGTAAAAACATTTTCACAAGTATTCTTAGAATCATTGTTTCTGGTCAAGATGAAATAATTTGTTATTTAGTTAAATCTTAGTAATAATTGGAAGTTATTTAAGTAAGATTGTGACAATCAGATTTTACTGTCATGTCCAGAAACCAGTATTATCACCTATACTTAATTGTTACTGTTTTTTATTATTATTGAATGTTAAATAGTAACTAGTTTAATTCTGCCTTACAGCTGCTAACCTATATCATAAATGAGGAGAAACAATACAGTTATTGTATGTCTATCATGGGATTTATACTGTAGGGAAACAATTCAACTGTAAAGTCTGTATCATATGGTTGTCAGTGAGGAGAAACAGTATAGTTGTGTTTGTATTATATGATGAACGTTATTGAGAAGCAAAACAGTTTTAATGTCTGTATCACGCTCATGATGCTGAAGGAAAACAATACAAATGAATTATAAGTTTGACAGTGAACTGAAATAACACACATGTATATCTATGTCATAGTGATTGGACTTCCACCATGCAGAAATAATGTACTGTCTGTGTTATAGGGTTGGCAACTGTAGTGCTTGTATCTTAGGATTTACATTATGAAGGAACAATATCGTTTACGTATATTGTGATCCTATAGAAATAATATTGTTGTAGTGTTTGTGCAACATATTCTTGACATTGCAATGAAGCAATACTTTTGTACTGTTTGTATCATATGTTTGATAGTGAAGTGAAACTAAATTTGTAGTGTTTGTATCATATGTTTGGTAGTGAAGTGAAACTACATTTGTAGTATTTGTATCGTATGTTTGATAGTGAAGTGAAACTACATTTGTAGTATTTGTATCGTATGTTTGATAGTGAAGTGAAACTACATTTGTAGT